ATTGCACCATCTGCTGGTTCTGAAATATTTGTTTCAAAGAAGCGTTCAATTGGAAGTGTTTTGGAGAGCACAAGAATACTATAGGAAAACAACGCCATCCAGTGTATAATCCAACCTCCATGCTCAATCTGCTACAGACTATGTTTACCCGAAATAGTATTAAGACACAACATTACTGGTTTGATGTGAGCTTTCCCTGTTTCCTATAGACTACAACCTCTCTAGTCTGACTTTTCCCTCCTGTTGGGGCTTCCCTTTGGCCCTGTGTGCAGCCTTACATTTCAATCCACTCTTTTGGAGGTTTCATTTGCAGCCTTTCTCAGATATCCTTAGGGCACCTCTTGGCTCCTAGAGGTTGAGTCTGCCCCATCACAGGCCACTCTGCGATGAGGCGACACTGCACAGACCTTCTTTTAGCTTTGGGAACAGTGGTGGTTTTTATCTACAAGGCTCTTCTCCCACTTGAGGCAGTCTGCCCCGCAGCAAACAGATGTTTATGTGGAGATCTCCCCTCTAGATGAATAAAATCCTCCCAGAGGCTAATGCTGGCTGGAAAAGTTCTTTTGTGCACCTATGAAGTGTAACTGAGCCCCAAGCAACCACCTTTGATGTATATTTTGTGATTGGGAAGAAAAAAAATCAAAAAGTATTTCTCTCAGCCAAACTGTTTCTTAGAGATGAGAATTTCTGTGGACTGAGACTTTATCCAATGCAAGTTTTGCCCTCTGATTAAACAAAGGGTTAGATTGAGATCCCTTTTTCTTACATTGTTATTGAATTTTGTTCTCTCTGATGCTGTTTGGACTTACTATTCCATCGACAAACTGGATCCGATAACTGCCTTCAATATCTTCTATATCTATATCTTGTTTGGTTTGCTAAGAAGCCATTTTATTCAAACATAAAGTATCAATACATTGTTCAAAGAGGCAACCTTCAAAAGGTGGAAGTCTACAAGCATGCTGATACTGAAATGAGTAGACCTATTTGGGAGGACTTTTGTTTTGCCTTAGTACTTTAGATCCCCATTTTTCATAAGGTTTAAAATCAATGTACCCTTAGGTAGTAACATTTGTCATAATTGGCTGATACATTAGTGTCTTTCAATATCAAATATAAACTTTGAATATGAGATCAGTAAGCGATATAATAATTTTAAGCAAGGAATTATAACTTGACTTTTGAGGACCAGTGAAGCCTTTAAGACAATGGCACACCCTTAAACAAAAACAAAAGCATACAATTGAATGAAATATTTCTTGAGCCATATCGATTGCAATATGACAACTTGATTTCTACATTCAATTATGAATGTTAATTTAGACTTAAGAAAACCAACCACAATACACAGTGAATGGGCGATCTGATTTTAGCCATTCACCTTCAAAGTAGGCGTAAGTCCTATATATCAGAGTCCTCATGTAAGGAGAGAAAACGTTAAAGAACGTTACCTTTAGTAAAAGATGAAATAATAAAAATTTTTATCACTAGAGACAAACATGCATATCCTAAGTCTCTAGACAGAAATGAAGATCACAAGATATTTTTCTTTTTCATTCCTGTTCTTTTTATTTTTTTAGCTCTTTAAAAATACAGACCATACTATTGATTACTGACTATTCATTCCTAAAGGCAGTGCTCTGTATTCAATAAATTAAGCTTTAATTCCAAAGTCCAACAAAATAATTGACCTCAAAAAGAAGATAAATGAATAGGCTCTCCAGAGCTCATGATTAGAATCTATTTTCCAGTCTCATTATATTAGTATTTTTCAATTCAGTGATTTTTCCCATTCTTTTCTATCTTCTTGCACAATCTCTGACACCTTTTACCCTGCTTCTGTATCAGCGAGGCCAAGCTATTTTTGTTCTTGGTTTCAAAATGGAAAGGTTTTACTTATGCTATTTTATACTTTGGTATTAATATCAGTAATTTAATATAGGCTCTATTTTAGTACAAGCTAGGAAATTAGCATTTTTGCAAAACATTTAAAATGCTGGTGAGTTCATAAAGTCATAAATAATATTGACAGCCTACATAAATATTTTGAAATATTAATCCTTCAACAATTATTAAAATTTTGTCCTATGTACTTAAACACTCATTTTTTTTTACTGAATCTTTGAAGATTAAAGAGTTTTTTTATTTTTTAAAGAATTACTTATTTAATTTTATTTATCATTATCATCATTTTCCAATTTTTCTGAGAGAGAGAGACAGAGAGCAAGACAGAGAAGGAAAGTGAGAAAGCAAACCACCAGATCCGGAACATGAACTGCAGTCAGCCATGTGAGAGTTCAACACCTGAATCACCATGCCACCTGCTGGCCCCAGATTAGAGAAGTTTAATAGTATTTAATGTGCTTTTTTCATTTGAGAGAAGTAAATATAAGAAACATTTGATGGCTTGGACAAAATTACATAGGGTTTATTAACTATGACTTTTAGATAATCTAGACGTTTTTCCTGCCACCATAGCAGCAAAATTTCTGTATTTAAAAAGACATGCTTTCTGTCACAGAAGAGGATAAACAGAGGGCAGGAGATGGCATGGTGGTTAAGGTACTGGACTTCTACATTGCCAACTGCAGTTTGAGTCCCAGACCTGGAGGCTTGAAACTCATATTGGGCAGGTGAACATGTGTCCCCAAAATCTCAAGAGAAGAATGGAGAAGAAGGGAGTATGGCATGGCCATCTCTCCTGGGGATGATTTCTCACTTTCCCTCTCTCTGTATCTCCAGCAAGCACAAGAGCTCTTTGGTGGGGGGGAGGGGTGGCAGGGGGATAAACAAGTGACTATAGTTTAAGCTGTGTTGCTTTAGTCTTGCTTGAAAGCAAATATAAAATACTGATCATTGCTACAGGCATCACTTAGTTACCAAGACAGAGTTAACTGAATATTAGCTAAAACCGAAGATGCTACTCCAAGTACTTCTTCAGCCAGCTTCTAAGGACACAAGGCAGCGTCCATGAAGTTTCCGGGGAAGGAGTTATTACTTTTCCCTTTTGTGTATTGCGAAAGAATGCCCCAATGACTCTACGAAGGAAAAGTGTCTCTTGTTTAAATTCTTACTTGGAGTTATGTTTGTTTGGTTTTTTTTTCAAGTATTTTGTTTCTTTTTCTCTCATGAGCAAGAAGTGGGGAGGGGAAGAGGGAGACACAGGTACCCTCCTCAGGGTCCCACCAGTTCACAATTCCTCTCTCCCTTCCTTCCAGCTAGCCAGAATTAAGTTTCAGGTAGACCAGGGTCCAAATCAGGGGCTTAGTGTATATCTCCAGCATCACACATGGCACCCCACTGTAGCTGACCTGACTGGAGGTCTAGAAGGATCTAGGGCTTGATTTGTCCCTGCATTTCTGAGAAGGAACACATCTTTAAAGAATAAAAGAGAACTACATGTAGATAAAACAGAATCATTTTTTTGTTGGGAGCCCAAAATGATAAACTCAGAAACATTATATTTCCTTAGCTTTTTCCCTACTCCAACTTATATTCGCCAGATCAGATTAAACTTGAACTTGCTCTTTGTAGGCTCATTTGGCAAACGGGTAAGTGCTCTACACATCTACGTATCTGCTAAGGGAGCCTAGCAGAAGCCCAATGCGGCTGGTAGTGTTCAATGGCTTCAATTCCTGTCTTGGGTTTTGCATCCTGTAAGTGACCTCGGTAATACTCAAGTGTTGTTGCAGGATAGAAGAGTTCATCTGTTGCTATGCTCTTTCACTTATTACCTCATAAACAGAAAGCCCAATTGCCAATGTTTTATTTATGTTCTATAAAATGATAGTTTATAATGGTAATCCAAGATTCATCATGACTTTTTGACTCATTTTGGCAGCCTAAATTATGTTCATTATAGCTTTAGTATACAGTGAATTTAATTGCGTTATGAATTTCTGAACACTGCTAATTGATTGGTATTTATATAATATATTATATATATCTAATGATTTCTCACTTTTTCTCTCTCTGTATCTCTAGCAAGCACAAGAGTTCTATGGGGAGGGAGGGGTGGCAGTGGGGATAAACAAGTGACTAGAGTTTAAGCCGTGTTGCTATTCAACTTGGTTTGTCCCTGCATTTCTGAGAAGGGAATTAGCTTTAAGAAATAAAAGTTTTGAATTTAATTATATATATATATATACACACATATATATATATATATCAAGCAGAAAAAGTCTAAAATATTACATTAATTTATATATCTCATTTATCAACTCTTCCAAATAAAAGCAATTTAATTGAATTTAGCCATAGGACAAATGTATAAATAGGTGGGGGGGGCTATGTATTTATTATAATGCATTTGTTATTATGTTAATGAAGATATTTGCACATTATATTTGCAACATATTTTGATTTGCATTTATATCAAACCATAGGATTTTCTAAAATTTAACATTAAATGAAAAAAGAATTGAGCTATTTTGGAGGACTATTAAATAGTAAAGGCCCAGTGTTAATGGCTGCCCTTTCAAGTGGATATTTTGGAGTCTTCTGATTTCTTTGACTCAGAAGATAACAGATGTAGGTCAAATTTCATTTAAAATATTGTCTTTATTGGTCTACTAATACCTTCATCACAAGATACATTATCTTCTTTCAAAATGTGCATTAAAAACAGTTGGTATAGCAGAAGACGGTATACAGTTATGTCACTGGACTCCCACATGCCCAACCGTGATTTGAGTCCCAGACCCAGTGGTATGAAACTTATACCAGGGGTGTGTGTATATGTGTGTGTGCTTGCCCACCATCCCAGAAAGAGAATGGAGATAAAGGGACTGAAGTGTGATTATCCTCCTGGGGGGAGGTAGGGGCGGGACAGGGATGATTTCTTACTGTCTCTGTCTCTGTCTCTATTTCTCTGGCAAGCACCGTAAGGTAAAAGCCTCTTAAAAAACAAAACAAAAAAAGCAGTTGTAGTTAAGGTAAAGTAATGTCTTGGGCTTTTGAGATCTTATTCATTTATGACTGATGCCTTGTTTTATCTGCAGAATTTTTCAGAGAGCTCCTGGAGAATGCAGAAAAATCACTGAATGACATGTTTGTTCGGACCTATGGGATGTTGTACATGCAGAATTCAGAAGTGTTCCAGGACCTCTTCACAGAACTGAAAAGGTACTACACTGGGGGCAACGTGAATCTGGAGGAAATGCTCAATGACTTCTGGGCCCGGCTGCTGGAGCGTATGTTCCAGCTGATAAACCCACAGTATCACTTCAGCGAGGACTACCTGGAATGTGTGAGCAAATACACAGATCAGCTAAAGCCATTTGGAGATGTGCCCCGGAAGCTGAAGATTCAGGTTACTCGCGCCTTCATCGCTGCCAGGACCTTCGTGCAGGGGCTGACTGTGGGCAGGGAAGTTGCAAACCGTGTTTCCAAGGTAAGAATGAGTTGTCTTTCTAATTGGTCTTCTCCTTTGGCTCTGGTTTAAAACCAATATTTACTACAACAAGAAAAAAAAAAATCAAGGTAAAAATTATGATAGTGGTTCTTGCTCCTAGTGAAATTAACTAAATGTCAAAATTCAGTTCTGTTTTCTTTTATGTTCTTGCTTCGTGTGAGAAAAGACAGGATTTTAAGCAGTCTCCCATGGGTTGGAAATGATGTCCCTATTTATCACTGATGCAACAGAAATGTTTTTACCAGGAATGGTGGGGAAACAGGTGTCTTGTGACTAGGACCACTTGGCATTTCTGATCAGAGTTTTAAGGATGATAAATACTCATGAATCAGTCTGTTCAGAGGTTATAATCCTCTAGGAAGTCAAGGTGACAGCCTTCATCAGGCCCCACAAGTGGAGACAAGTTGTTGTGCAAAAAAGGAGCACCTGGCATTTCTTCTTCTTTATCACATGTGTCAAAGTGACCAAAGTCCTTAACAGTGAAGGAAGATCCCTTTGCTGACACCTGCAGAGCTGGATTAGGGAGAACTAATGAATACAAAGTGTAGATTCTGGCAGAGAATTCCTGTGTTTTCCATTGTCTTTGTAATCCCAAGATATGTGTTGGGTTGCATTTATTGAAAAAAAAAAAAAGGTGTGTCACATGGGAACAGCAATTGGCATAATGACTATGTCGCTGGACTCCCTTGTAGTCGACCGCAGTTCCAGTCCCGGACCCGGTGGCTTGAACTCTTGCTGGGTGCAGATGCGTGTGTGCCCAAGATCCCGAGAGGAGAATGGAAGAGAAGGGATTGCGGCGTGGCCATCCCCTCTGGGGGGGTGATTTCTCACTTTCTTTCTCTCTGTCTCTCTCTGTCTTTCTGGCGAGCGCACGCGCTCAATAAGAAAAAACCTCTCCAAAAAAAAAAAAAGGTAAGTCACTATTCTACTGTTGGGTCTTTTCTTGGGGGAAATGTCTCAAAACTTTTAATCCAAGGAATCATTCTCTACTGCTCCCTATAAACATTGACTGTTTCCGGTGCAGAGGATATCTGCCTTTATTTAAGTTCTCCCTTGACATTTAACTGTGCTAAGATGGACCTGCCCATTTATGAGGTCAGTCCTATAATAAAATGAAAGGTAATTACTTTAAGGAGTAAAGTTAAAAGTGATACATACCAGGAATCTGAGATATCGTGTCAGCCAAAGAAGGTACCTTTGTACAAAGAGTGTTGCCAAACAGCACTTTTCTATTTCAGGACTGTGCCAAAGAGCCATATTATTTTTCATTTTATTGGTATTGTTCTACTACTTTTTTGTTTTTGTTTTGTTTTGTTTTGTTTTTGTTTTTTATACCTTGATTTCCTCAATATATACATCTTGACAGAAAGAACATATATACACTTGAAAATATTTTTCTATGGTACTGTTGGTAAAATTTTGTGGCAGTCATTTTTAAAAGATCAAGTCCTTAAAAGGTTTATATGAGGGGCTGGCAAGTGGCATGGGGGTTAGGGGTGTTAGACATTCCCATATGGCTGACCGTGGTTCGAGCCCTGGACTTGGCTTGCTCTCTCACTTGCTCTCTCTCTCTCTCTCTCACTCTCTCTCTCTCTCCTTCTCCCTCTCTGGTAAAATTTAAATAAATAAATAAAGCTAAATAAAATAATTCTTTAAAAAAGTTTATATGAGCATGTAAAAAGATTATTTGCAAGGTGGCTCTACCAGAGTAATTACAAACAATTTAACAATGTAAAGAGCACATAATTCTGATGTTCAGAGCAATGTATTTTTAGAATTGGCCCCATGGTCTGGTGGTTAAAGAAACCAGATTACACACATGGCTGACCACACCATTCAAATGCCAACCCCTACAGTTTGAAAAATATGCCAGATATGTGTGTGTATGTACTCCAAGTCCCAATAGGTTGGATAAATGGAAGAGAAGGGATTGAGATGTGACTATGCCCCATGGGAAGGTGCTTTCTCCCTCTCCCTCCTCCTTTTTCTGTCTGCCTCTCTATCTCTTTTTGGTGAGTACATACACTCTCTGGCAGAAAGAGAGAGAGAGAGAGAGGAAGAAGAAGAAGAAAAGGAAAGAAGGAAGGAAAGAGGGAGGGAAGGAACAAAAAAAGAGAGAAAGAGAAAGAGAGAAGGAAAGAAAAGCAATGTTTTTAAAAGTTGAATATCAACAATATTTTAGATACCAAAGGAACTAGCGCTCTGGAAGTAAATTAATAAAGAATTAGTCAGATGGACAACATGCAGAAATATAATCACCTTAGGATAGTTGGTAAAATATAAGTCAGTACAAAAATAAATACGTATTTCATATTGTCTTGAGCAGGAAGATTTTGTTGTAAAAGTAAATTTAATTAAATTAATAGTGAAACTAAGTGATACATTTAGTCACTTCACAGAAGTTTCAAGTTGAAGTCTGCCTTTGGTTTTTTGTTTGTTTGTTTGTTTGTTTGTTTTGTTGGTGTTGTTCATTTGTTAGTTTGAGAGGTTTTTGCTATAGGGCACATGTGCTCACCAGAAAGACAGAGAGATACAGAAAGCGAGAAATCACCCCCAGGGGGGATGGTCACGCCATCATCCCTTCTCCTCCATTCTCCTCTCGGGATCTTGGACACACATGCACACACGCCTGTTGTGAGTTTAAGCCACCAGGGATTCGAACTGCAGTCAACTACATGGGCGTCCAGCGACATAGCCATTACACTAACTGCTGGTCCCAGGTCTACTTTTGTTGAAGAGTAAAACCTGCAGCTAGTTTTTGAGAAGCACAAAATAAATTCAAAGCTTGACTTGAGATAAGCAACCTTCTGATTGTTCGTATTTATTCTGCCTGAGTGTGAACAACATTTAGACTAATACATCATGATTTGGGAGATTCCAGTCAGGTCAGGGAATATTCCCTAGCAAAGTGTCTAAAAAGTCACAGAGGAGAGTGCTGCTGACTCTGACCCCTGTTTCTTAGAGGATGACACCACCAGCTGCCCCAGAGATGGGACTTCTCTCCGGTCTTTCCCTGACTGTCTCATTTGATGTCTTTTTCTACCAAAATCGAATGTCCTCCTTTTATGTTGAAGGTTGACACTGCAGATCAACCCTCGGTAGAGTATGACCATTAATTATTTTTCAGAACTGGTAAGGGACATGCACTGCCACATCTTATTCTCTCTTCCTCTTGTTTCTTTGTGATCAGCTTTCTTTCGGAGAACCACAGTTGTGTACATAGGCTGTAGTTTGCAAGTCATGTAACCCAACCATAGAACGTTGGCTGTTCTATGTGGACACTGACTTGTCTGACCTGAACTTCACCTAATCAACTAAAATCATAAATCCTATGTTGTCTTCGAGGCATCTTTTCAAGATGGTAGATAGAAAGATAGATAGCCTTGGTTTAAAAGAAGCTGAGCAATTGTTACTCAAATAACTTGTGATTCAGGGATTTTGCCAATGAACTTGCTCACCTAATGATTACCAGATGGTCTATAACCGCCTACACCAGAAATAGATCCTCCAGTACTGTGATGATTTCAGCACCTCAACTATTTCTTTGTAATAAGAATAAAATATTACAAGGACTAAAAATATTAAGAGCAGAAGCAAGAGTAGTATTTGAGGTTTAAGCCTTTCATAAATCTGAAGCCTTTTTGTGGTCTATTTTTTGGGTGATTGAGACTTGATGAAATAATGGCACAAGAGTTGGATAATTCAAGGCAAAATGCTCAAATACAGATCAACACACTAGCTTATCTCCTGCATTCGGGCTTGGAGAAGTTTGGTTCTAGTTTATTTTGTTTTGTTTTTCCCTCCTTGGTTTCTCTCTTCATTTACCATGACTTCGTATGTCTTAGAAAACATTGTTAATAGGTTCTAATTAATTGTTTTGACTGGAAATTTTACCTCTTTGGCAAATCATAGTAGTTTGACACAAACATTTTGACATAACATTATAGGCAATTTCCCTACCAGAAAAAAATGGAGGACTAACTTGCTGGCATCAACAGAATTATTTTTAAAACTTGGATCTTGTAGATATACACACTGTCTTTTTATAGTGTTTAGATGCAGCGAGTTTATTTTAAGGAGCTATAGTTCAGGTTCTGTCTCTTAGTAGTATTGTATAAATCTGGAGTGAATATCTGTGGTCGTTGGTTCAGTGTTCATTTTCCATATGAATGATCTTTTATTGAGCTTGCCACATATTGGGAAGATGTGGCATACCAGGAGCTATCCATACTTTGCCAATGGAAGTGTAAATTCATGTGCTCACTTTGGGTAACAATTTGAAAATTCTTGTATTGTTGAAGATGTGCATATCCCCAAACTGAGATTCCACCCCTGGAGAAACTGTTACACATGCACACAAATAGACAGACAGAAGAAAGTTTATAGCAGCATCATTTATAGTAACATACATGTAGAAATATCACAGTGTCCCATCTGTGCAAATAATGATCTCTTCATTCCATGAAATTCTATGAAGAATAGAAAGCAAATGTACTACAGTCATACATGTAGAAGACTCACAGAAATCTTCTTTTGAGAGAAAAAATGAAAATCACCAAAATTACAAACTGTTAGGATAAAGTTGAAAAATGTAAAATCAAGCACAACATTATTTACAAATAAAAATATATGTACTAAAACTCTCAAGGAAATTCAGAAAATAATAAACACAAGAATCATGTGATGGCAACTTCTGGGCATGAAGTTTGGAAATGTAATCAATGAGGAAAACACAGAGATTTTTAAAGGTATTAATAATATAACTACTTCTTGAGCTAGGTACTATGTGTGTGGGTGTTTACATGTGTATATGTGTCCTATTTTATCTTTCAAAAAAAACTTTTTCAATGTGTACTCACCAAAGCCCAAGGTGGGAGGTAGAGGGAGAAAGACTCCCCATTGGAGATGGGACATCGTGACACTGTAATCCCTCCTCTTCTGTTTCTCCACCCTGTTAAGATTCTAGGCATGTACACACA